ACAGGCTGTCCTCACACTCAAAATCTTCATGCCTCATCTTCTTGAGTGCCTGGATAACAAGCAGGTGCTACCATGTCTGGCTTCATGGATATTGGTTCCAGTGCTTCAATTTAGAGTTTTATTTATTCAAGTGCCGTGCCTGCCTAAGCCAAGATGTTGAAGCATGAATCTATGGAGTATAAACTACAATAGATGAGAATAATGTGAAACCAGTAAGCCTGAATACAACAGGTACAGGAAGTGGTAGCAAGGAATCTTCTTATCTATTCTTTGACAAAACTTAAAACATTTACTTTGGAGTTGTAAACATATCCAGAAGACCCCAGAAGGTTTCTTAATCCTTAGCCCCAAAGAAGGCCAGGATCAAATGTGTTTGGAGTTTATCCTGTGCCCTTGCGTGCCAGCAAAGGTGAACATTTAGACCTCAAAGGTTTAAGCAGTGGAATTTGATGACTATCAAAGCAATGCATTATCCATGATCCAGGTTGTTCATGCTTCAGATGTGGGGATGGAGAAAGGAGAGAACAATGAAGGATGATCTTGCATCTAAGGACGAGGCAGGTACTGCCATAGATACTTTCCTGGAGACAGGAGAATGAAGACATTTAAGGGTGGCATTGCCTATAAATTGCACTCATCTATTGTCACGTTCACTATCAAGCTGAGCCGTGAAGAAAAGCACACCCACAGCATTTGCTAAATAAGGGCACTGAAAATTATGCAGTTCATCCATTTTCTCTGGCTGCCACGTGAGACCCTTCTTGAATAAACAGATTTGTTTATATCATGCGGGCAAAACCACGAAGCTAATAAATCTGAATGCTAAGATTTTTTTCCTGTCTTTTTAACATCTTTAAAAATAATGAACATATCAGTCTTTAATTTATCTCTCTAAATCTAGAGTTTTAAAAATGAAGTCAGTGTAAGAAAAAAATCATATTTAAATTGGAGGTGGGAAGATTAGAAGGTGAGAGGAAATGATGATGTCTTTGCCAGAGGTGAGCCCTGGTTGACCCGCCCCTCTTAACTACCGTTTGGTGACAGGAACAGGCTGCAGTGTTCCAGCAGACCCCAGCAAACCAAATGTTAGCCTACATTTGAAAGTTGTTCAAAAGCAGCCCCCATCTGTTAGGGACCAGCTCCTCCCATGTAACTATAAGTCCCTATTTCATCAGAGCACAAACTAGTTCTAAAGCTTGTGTCTATTATATACCAAGGTTTCAAATGTTTAGAAGTCTGACATTGACAAAGAGCTCCTGCTCTTCCTTTTCCTTCTTCCAGCTTCAAGGTAAAGTCTTGTTTCCCATGATGAATTTGTTTCAAAATGTTCAGGTCCCAGAATAGTCCAATTTGTTGTGTATGTTTGTGTTTTTATTTGGAGCTGGTAGAAGAAAATGGGCCAAGATTGGGCATGGAATCAACCATATGAATGTTAAATCTCAAGAATTTCCCAAAGAAACCAGCATGTTGGCACACACCTAGAATCCCAGCACTAGACTAGAAATATTTGATGAACTTATTTGATGAACAGCTATACCAGGAGTATCAAAGCCTTAGTTGCACAGTGAATTTAGAGCCACCCTGGACTGCATACATAGCAAGACTCTGGCTCAATGAAACAAGAGAGGACAAGACAAGACAAAGCAAAACCAAACAAAATGTTCCAAAGTGAATCAAAGAGAATGGAGAAATTCATTGGTGCTGGGGGTGGGGGGCGGGTACTAGGGATTGAACTCAGTGCCTTCACACTAAGCTACACTCCCAGTTATTTTTTTATCTTTTTAATTTGCGACAGGGTTTCACTAAGTGACTAAGTTGCACAAGCAGGATTTGAGTTTACAATCTTCCTGCCTCAGCCTCCCAAAGTGCTGGTATTACAGTGTGCACCATAATGCCAGGCTTGAGCAGGGTAGCCTTTTTGAAACTAGCTACACTTTTAATATTTCAGAATTTTCCCAAACCATTTCAGGAGCCATTGTGTGAGGATAGATTCAGTAACGGGCCAAACTACTACACATAAAGATGAATTCACCCCTTCTTTAGCAGGCAGAGTATAAATGAAGCTTTATTTGTGCCCCTGAGATATGTGAGCTGTGATACAGGTGTTATCCTTAGCAGATTCTATTCCTTCTGCCCTCCTTCTCTCAACCTCCTTACTAAAATTCGTTTTCATTTGTCTCCAGAAATGACACCTATTTTCTCCTGGCTTCCCCAGGATTAAAAACGTAATCTGTTGGCTAGTTTTGTAAGTCAACAATAAAGCGGTACATAATAGTAAGATCTAGGAAAGAGCACAGGGTCTGAAAAAACAGACTTTTGTTGGTGGTTGTGCAGCCCAAGGACAAGGATTTATATTTATGTGTCTATACCACACCCCTTACACACACACACAGGCTTATGATAAAAACACATACAATTGTATACTATCATAAAATTGCAGAGAAGCCAAATATGCAAGTCACAAAATTAATTTAATCACTATCGATAAATAAATATTAATGTGGGCAGATTAACAGGACCATTACACGTAATCTTCCTTATTGTGTAAAGGTAACATTTCTTTTAATACTGAAAGGGGACCTTGAACAACACATTATATAATAACTGATGCCATTTTACAAAAAATCAAGGATACCAAATGTTAAATGGTTATTAAGCCTCAATATTGGCCAAGAACATGCTATAAAATGGAGATTGTTAATGTGGGATCATAGATTTCTGGTCTGTGGTATAATTCATGGGATCCATGGGCTTAGGAGAAAAAAGTTACACTCTTATTTTAATCAACCTGTACCTGACAGTACTGTATTTCCTTCCACTGTACATGAAGCCTGCCCAAAGTTTTGCAATATCTGTAAATTTGTCATCAACAGAAATGATTTTTTTTAAATCACAATACTGTTGTTGCAGATATCTTACTTGATCTTAGCCAAAAGGCCAAGACACAGTGATTGTTGTTGGCGGTATCCTGACATCTCATGTGTTCTCAGTGCTACTTTGAAATTATGACTACTATCATATCTCGGCCACTTTGGCTTGTAACGTTTCAATTAAGAACATACATAAACTAGACATGGCACTCTCAGAAGCTGAGGCAGGAGGATCACAAGTTTGAGCCCAGGCTGACAACTCAGTGATTTAGTAAGACCCTGTCTCAAAATAAAAACTAAAAAGGGAGGAAGAATGCAGCTTAATGCAAAGGTCCTGGGTTTAATCCTCCGTAT